TTAAGCCTTTTTATTATATCCTTACTCTGTCCTGGACATTGAGTTCTACCTGGATTCTATCCTCTTGGAATTATTTTTTTATACAAATATATATGTATGTGTATGTATGTATGTATATATATTTATATATTTTGCATATGCATATTTATATTTACCACTAATATTATCTATATATATCTATATCTATATATATCTATATCTATCTATCTATCTATATATATATATATATATATATATATATATATATATATATATATGGGTGTGTGTGTGTGTGTGTGTACAATTTCCTTAAAGACAATTGACAAGGTACTGAGATTAAACTATTTCTTCAATTATTCGTATAAGTGATTTCTTTTCTGGTATCAAACTCTACCAGCAACTTATTTGTAGACTAAAAATAATGGAAGGGCTAATAATAAAAAGAAAAAAAAGCCAGCACACAATGACATCAACTATGAACATGGCCATAATTTGTTGACCATATTTGGAGAATAAAACAAACATTACAATCACTCTAGAAACATGTATAAGAAACATTCAGTGAAAACTAAAAGAAATCCTTGATAATGTCTAGCAGAATAGCCGAAGGCACTTGAATATATAGAACATTCGGGCGATTTTCACACACTTTATGGCCATATATATATATATATGTTCTATATATCCAAGCGCCTTCGGCTATTCTGCTAGACATTATACATATATATATATATATATATATATATATATATATATATATGTATGTATGTGCTTATAAAGCTCCGTAAATTTCAAATAAGTTATTCCAAAATACGCTTGAAAATGAAAAAAAGAACAAGGGACTTTAATTTAATTCAAATTCTATAACTGAATTGGAAGTTTTTTAGCTTCTGTTTTTGAAACATGGTAATTCCTGTGTAGCAATGGAATTTGTTTTATATATATTTTATAAAAATAATTATATATATATATATATATATATATATATATATATATAGGTATTATTAGTGATGGAATCATATTTTTTTTAATATATATATATATATATATATATATATATATATATATATATATATAAAAGTTGCCTCTCGTTTGTTGTTTTGTAGTACACAGAATAATCTAATCTTAGTGAGCCTTTCACCTGGACTGACAAGATGGTTTTATCATGCTTCGTCTGATTCCTTTGCACGCCTGGTGGGCTGCGTTATCAACTCCGATTGAAGAGATACGAGCGAACAGGAGAACATAGAAAGAAAATAGGTTGGAAACAGAGGAAACTACACTAAGTGCGGTTGGGAACATTAATAAAATTACTTACAACTTTATGATCACGAAAAGGTTTACAGCTATGCATACATATATACATACATATATATATATATATACATACATATATATATATATATATATATATATATACATATGTGTGTGTGTCTGTGTGTGTATGAGAGGGGCTGGAGAGGTCGGGTGCATGTATATTTAAGTAGTAGTAAATATAATAAGAAATTAGACATATTTAAAAAAGAAATAAAAGAGAAAGGCGGAGAAAATCACTCGTAGACAGAAACGCGAACTGGAAAGAAAAAATGTTCTCTGTTACCATTTTTGTATTTATCTGTCGAAATCTGCTCATATCTATCTATCTATCTATCTATCTATCTAAACCATTCCGTATCTATCTATCTATCTATCTGAAAGTTTTTGTATCTATCTGAATCATTTCATATTTACCTATTTATTTAAATCATTTCATAACTATCATTCTATCTAAATCATTTCATATCTATCTATCTCTCTATCTATCTATCTATCTATCTATCTATCTATCTATGCCTGGATACATAGAGATAGATAGATAGATAGATAGATAGATAGATAGATAGATAGATAGATAGATAGATAGATAGATAAAGAGAAACATCATATAATGATGAACCCTTGAGAGATGAATATATATAGAGATAAATAAACAGCAGAATATATATATATATATATATATATATATATATATATAAAAAGATATATATATATATAAATATAATTTTTTTTTATTAAGATTTTATATAATACACAATACAGAATATATTTTACGTTAGGACTTCCAAACATTTGTATATAAGTGAAATGATTAAAATAACCGAAAAAAGACCAAGACGTGACCTACGATTTGGCTGAACAAGTGCAGAAGCTTTAAGTGTTTGGGAAATGTTTTAACAGTGGATAGAAAAATGACATCGGCGTCCAAAAGTGCATTGAAACAGCAAATGATGCCTTACAAAAGCTAAGCACGCCACTAAGAAACAGGAAAAAATTCGGTAGAAACAAAGAAAAAAAAGGGCTGAAATGTTATATACTATCGGCCCTCATCTAAGGCAGTGAATACTGGAAATCTCCTTAGAGATAAAGAAGATACTTTATGTATTATATCAGAATATATAATACATGATATAGAATATATTTTACGTCAGGACATATAAACATTAGTGCATAAGTGAGTGTATTTGTTGTGGTAATAAAAATAACGTGTTGGATCCTTTGCGCCATTCCGTTCGTTTAAGATAGGAATAAATGTGATATGCCTCAGTTCACAAGTGGCGCAAACCCGTACACATGCTACAGACACGTGTCCCAAACGAAGCACAGCGTCTGTTTCTATGCCCCAAATCATCGCTGAGTGGTAGCGACAACTGACGGGGTTATAGTGCAACAGGTGCGATTGAGGAGACAGGAGGAAGTACCGAGAAATGGCCGACCAGGCATTTCCGGTTTGCTTTAATTCCTGGTGGTATTCTTGGGACATATGTTATGATAATCGTAAACAACCGCCTCCCTACCCCAGAAATTGTCACTAAGAAAATGCGCATATGCACATCACTTCACACAGCCCATCGCTCTTGGATGTGGGGAGGGCATTTGCTTATACCTAAGTCGTCATCGTCGTCGGCATCTGTCCATCTCGAGAGACGATTGAGTAGCTATCAGCCTGGGCGGGATATATGGAGAACTAGGGCTGCCCGGACGTCTAGTTACCCCTCTCGGCCTTCCTAGCAAAGTCCAAAGGAAAGGATGAACCAATACAGTTTGGTACCAGCGCGGCTGCAGGAGTTACCGGAAGGTAGCACAAAGTGCCGTCCATCCGCCTTAGGGGCTCCACTCCGGGTTTGAATTCAGAGTTGTCCTCCTAGACCAGTTGCCATCCAAGGCTATAGAACCCAGTCTTTCCTGCTATTTACCCATAGCTGGAGAGAGAAGAAGATGATTCACATTAGCACGTAAGTGAATGTAATGGATTCGACTCTTCCTCAATCCAAGCCGCTATCCATTACTCCACCGCGCCTCCTAAGTACAATTTATTTTCTAAGTACAGATTTATTTTCTATACAGAATTATTATAAACATTCACATGTTTATAATAATTCTGTATAGAAAATAAATCTAAGCAAAGTATGAAGGAAAAGGAAAATTCTGTTTGAAACAAAATAAAGGGTATTGAAATATTATATAATATCAGTTCTCCTAAATGGCATTGAATTCTGGAAAATATCCTCAAAGACGATGAGACGATGGAATATGCAAGAAAGAAATCTGATGTCGCATCGAAATAGCGAATAAGATTTACAAAAACTTAATATAGTTTTAAGAAAGACAAAAATTTCATTTTTTTCAATGAAATTTGTCCATTTCATGATATATATATATATATATATATATATATATATATATATATATATATATATATATATATATATATATATATAAAATCTCTCTCTGAATTTATATCGTCTTTGGAATTATCCTACTAATTATCAAATATATATATATATATATATATATATATATATATATATATATATATATATATATTGTGTGTATTTATGCAGCATTTTTTGCAGCCTAGATAGGATTAAAAAACATGTATCAATATTGTGATTTTCTTTCTTCATTTAATGATAATGTTATTAAGCTTATCAGACGATATGAAAAGAATTTACATAAAATAAATAGACAAAACTTGTCTATATTACTTAAAGAAACATGCCTCAATATATATATATATATATATATATATATATATATATATATATATATATATATCAGTATTACATTATAATAAGGAGACGTATCTGTCGATGGCGAAACGCGTAGTCAATAAAACAGATATTGATATCCGATTTATACACAAATTCACACACACACACAGATACGCACACAAACGCAGACACACAAATATATAAGTAAAGACTGTACGCATAGAAATGTTTACTGTATAAGTTATGCGGTCTGTCCAGAAAGTATTTAACAGGGATTTTACAAGCTTCTTCCAGCGTCTATTCTGCTTTTCAAAGCAATATAGAAAATACTTTCTTCGGGATCGCCATCAGCTGCCTTGTCACATTATCGTCCATGTTTTAGCTTTAAGAATAGTCAGTAGGCTTTGGGGTGAAGGCAGACAGACGTGAATGGGACAAAACTTTGTTAAAAGCCACCACAGATGACGGGGACCATCTTATCGTCCGTATATTGTTAATGCGACGGTCGCACATGACACCAGTATCCTCAATGAGTTGAGTGTCTGTTCAGGTAAAAGCATTAAATTTCGTTCCTATCAGTTTCCCAAGGCCGTGCAAACGGTTCGACACGTTCCGGACAAACATCGTACCCACATATCTATAAACATGGAAGGTACCACACCCAAAAATCCCCCCTGTCACTCTTCAATACAAACATACAGCGACAGGTGCCATATTTATTTTGGGCTCCTGAAAATATCCCAGTGAAAGGTCGACAGCCGTTTACATCTGTTAGGACAGATGAGAAAAAAATCCTGTAAAAAATCTAAGAATGTTTTAATATGCAATGAAAATATTGTTCCGGTTGAAGGGCTTACGGAAACATAACGTTGAAACTTTGATTCCTGTACGATCACTGCAGTTAAGCAACGTCGAACATGGCGAGTGCCGAGATAGGTAACCGCTTCGGAATACCAGGTGCTGGAAGCTTGGGTTTGCGGGTGGTAAAGCTGGCAGCCATATCAGCTTGAAATAACGGTTCCCGTATGATCACCGAAGTTAAGCAACGTCGATCCTGGTCAGTACCTAGATGGGTAACCGCTTGGGAGTACCAGGTAATGAAAGCTTATGTTTGCGGCTGGTATGGTTTGACGGCCATATCACTTTGAAATAACAGTACCTCTACGATCACAGAAGTTAAGCAACGTCGTGCTTGGTCAGTATTTAGATGGGCGAAGACTTGTAAATGCCAGAGACTGGAGGCTTGGCTTTGCGGGTAGTATGGTTTGACGGCCATATCACTTTGAAATAAAGGTACCTGTACGATCACCGAAGTTAAGCAACGTCGATCCTGGTCAGTACCTAGAGGGTGACTGCTTAGAAATACAGGGTGCTAGAAGCTTGCGTTTGAGCTTGCGTTTGAGCGTTATGATTTGACGGCCATATCAATTTGAAATAACAGTACCCGTAACGAAGTTAAGCAAAGTCGAGCCTGGTCAGAACCAAGATGCAAGCTTGAATGTGCGTGTGGTGTGATGGTTCGAATGAGATATTCAAGTTCTAATTCCAGTCAGGTTCGTTATATTCACTTACGCGCAACTAGACTTGAACAATCATGAATCGAAAAGAGACATAATAGCCTAAGAATCTCACGTCCGCATTTGACCAGCGCACGAAGGCAATGGCCCAATACCTTACAATGAAGATGTCCCCCAATTTACATTCACTGGGGGAAAAGCGGAAAAGAAAGAGCCCAATAGTGAACCACTTGACTACAATTGACTTGTTGAAGGTGACGTCTTGACATATGGCATCATACGTCTCCCTAAAAACAGACTTTCTCGACATTTTCGAATAGGGTCTTCCAGACTGCCGTAGAGAAAAAAAAAAGCTACACTTAAATCTCTATCTATAAAAGGCAGGATGTGTGTGTCTGTGTGTGTGTGTAACGAATGCATGGTCGCAATTTTCGACAGATTTGCACCAAAATTTACATGCACATGCTCCAAGTTAGCGGGAAGGCCAAGACCGACTTTGCATTTTCCAACTCCCATCGATAGTGGAAATAAATTTGATTTTTCATGCTTCTATGGCAGTTTTCATGTAGTTTGCGGCCATTTTCTACTGGCCAGAGTGAGAGCCTATAGCTGGCTGCCACGAATAGGCAGGCAGATTCTATTGGCCAGCGTGAGAGTCAACAGCTGACTGACACGAATGTTAACTAACATGCAAAAAAAAAATCGATAGCTGCATTCGTCACAAGTGGGAAAAATTTAAATCTGCATGGCACTTTACTCCAATTGGCTCATTCGCTTGCTTAAACTCAACGTTGATTCTGATTCCGCAGAACTGGGTTGGGTGTGAAAAAGTATTTGTTGTTAACATTCTTTTTTCATTCGGTTTTTCTAGTTACGAGTCCTTTTTTAAAGCTGATGGTTTTGTGTTCATTTTGTTTAGTTCTTTTTTCGTAAAAGATTTAATGTTTCGTATAGAGCTTCGAAAAAATTTGCAGTGTGAGATAGGCAAGAAGTAAGGCATGTAGCAACATCAGCACGGCAAAGGGCACTCCTTTAAAGGCAAGGAAGGGCAAACATATTTCAAGTCAAGTGATAGCGATTGCTGTATGAGTCGTACGATTTTTGAATCAAGCACGGGCAACGCCGGGCCATGCTGCTAGTATACGATTTATTGTTCACATCCTGAGATGACGAGAAGATGGTTTCTTTTGTTAGCCGACTCCCTTCAGGACCGGAGCTATCGGGGAACATTAAAAGATGCCTTGTGGCCCTCCACAACTTACTATCATTAGTAAGGTTTACCTTGTCATCATCCCTCACAATCCTGTTCTGCTATCCATTTATACAATCTTGTTATGTAGGTTATTCACTGCTTTCCCATGTTCACCTTGTCTTGTCAGTGTCTAATTCAACAAACCTTCTTTCCTATTATGTGTGTCAGATATTTCAAGAATCTCTTTCTGATTGTAAATTATTTGATTCCATTTTCCTTAAGTACTTTTTGCTGTAAAACTATATTTCTGTTGCCTTATATCTTTTCTTCATCTGTGAGGAGATTGTCCAGCCTTTACCGCTATATCGGAGGATCTATATTACAGTTTAGTACTCTCTTCGTTTTTCTTAAAGAAATTTTCCTGTTTCTTAATACTTTATTTAGCTTTTGCAAGGCATCTTTTAATGTTCCCCTGCATATTTATATTCCAGTGCCGTATTTTCCCTCATCTGTTAAAATGTTTCCCAGATATTCAAATATTCTTACTCGCTTAATCTATTAACTTATATTGTATTATCTATCTATCTATCTATCTATCTATCTATCTATCTATCTATCTATCTATCTATCACATTTAAGAAAGCAAAAATGAGATATGACTTTCCCTTACCTGATTTTCTTCACAATAGCCCCTGTTAGCATGCATAAGTGTAAAACAAAAGGCACCATCCAATGCTGACGCTCATTTATCGTTCACGATAGGAGATTTATATATATATATATATATATATATATATATATATATATATATATATATATATAATTAAGAAAAAAAATACGGAAAAAAAAGCAAAATCCTTATATACAATTTATGCTGTTTTAATGTTAATATGTCAACGTCGGACGATTCGGTCTAATAAACATATTAATTATATTTTAGGAATATGTACTGAAGATGGTTTTTAGACCGAAACATCCGACGTTGATGTTATTAACATTAAAAAAACAGCATAATTGTATATAAGATTTTTTTTTGTTTTTTCCGTATATTTTTCTTCATACTGTCGGATCTATATCCATATATTGCTTACATATATATATATATATATATATATATATATATATATATATATATATATATATATAATAAAATGAATCGTTAGCTGTTCTTTTTGTTGATAACCATACATTATGTCTTCTTACGATTGATGATTAGTCCTTTCTTCTCGCTTTCCTTCAGTAGGGGTTCCAACCGTTTCCTTTGTGTGCCTGCATATTTTCTATTAAGATGGTGTCCGCCAATAATGAATCCTTAACGGACTTTTAATTCTATCTGGAGCGTCTCTCCGTAAAGGTTTAATAAATCCGATGAGAAGACACATCCTTGTCTTACGTCATTTTCTATTTTTATCTGTTTACCGAATTCTATTCGTATGCAGGAGATTTGCTCTCAGTACAAGTTCTGGATTATTCTAATGTCCTTACCAAATAAATCAAGCTCACCTAGCAGTTCAAGTAGTCCTTTGCGTTGTACTTTATCATGCCAGGATTTATTATGGTTGGATAAACTAAACAACATTCATTACGGAGATAAAACTGTACTAATGGCAGACTCTAAAAGTAAATAGAAAAAATCAGTATTGTCTTATTGATTAATTGATTGGTTGGTTGATTGCTTGATTGATTGGTTGATTGATTGATTGATTGATTTAATGATTGGTTGATTGATTGGTTGATTGATTGGTTGATTGATTGGTTGATTGGTTGGCTGGTTGATTGTTTGATCGATTGGTTGGTTGATTGCATGGTTGTTTGATTGATTGATTGGTTCGTTGATTGATTGATTGATTGAATGGTTGATTCATTTTTAGGGCTTATCATCCCTTTGCAAATTATTTAAAGATCGAATTTTTTTTTGAAGATGATTATTTAGTGATACAAATCTTACTAATTACCCCATAGCTGGAAAGGTAAGAAGTGCATTCATACATAATTTGAACTTATATGTATATAAAATGGGGTATCAATTGTATATTACAATCAATATATAAACTGATCCCTTACTTTCCATAGAATATAAATAACTTTAAAAGATATGTCTGCGTAGCTGATTGATTGACCGAATCGTTTTCTACGTCTTACCAACTCTTTGCAAGTTATTTAAACCAGAATATATTTTTAGATTGTAAGAATTTTTCGTTTTGAGATAATAATTATTTTAGCGATACGTGTCTTACTAATTATTTTATACTTCTGAAGCGACATGGCATATAGAAGAAGAAAAAGATATCTAAATGTATGACAGAACAAGAACCACAATACAACGAGAGGTGAAAAGGATCGAGAATTGCTTAAAGCAACCAAAGGAAGTTGTAGAGAGCCATATTCTGAAGAAGTTGGCATCTGAAAGAAGAAGAAATAGAAAAAGAGATAAATAAAAGTTAAAGTTAAGCTCCAATTAGCCCTGCAGATGTGTGGATATTTTTTAATGAAAACGACGCATCAACCATCGAAGGTCGTTTGTCGGCGACTCATCGAGCAGAAACAGCGAAGATATTTCAGACCTTTAAGTACTTACTGAATTTTGACACTTCACCAACACGACCCCACAAGAAGTAAAAGGAAAAAAAAAACGCTATAAATAGAAGGAAAGAGAAAAGTAGAAACAGAGAAAAACAAAACATTGTCAATAAATGAAAGAAAGAAAGAAAAAAGGCTTGAAAAGGCAAGAAAGAAAATAGATAAATTCCTGAAAGAAAGAAAGAAAGAAAGAAAGAAAATAAAAGAAAACAAATGAAAATAAAAGGGCTGAAAGAAAACACGGAAAGAAAGAAAAAAAAAGAAAGAAAGTAAAGGTAAGAAAGGGAAGGAAAAAAAGAAACAGAAGGAAGGAAAAGAAAGAAAAGAAGGGAAGGAAAGAAAGGAAAAGAAATGGAAAGGAAAGGAAAAAAAGAAGGGCGGAAACGAAACGAAACCAAACGAAAGAAAAGAAGGGAAGAAAAGAAAGAAAAGGAAAGAAAAATGAAAAGAAAGCAAAGAAAGAAACGAAAGGAAAAAAGGAGAGAAAAGAAAAGAAAGGAAGAGAAGAAAAGAAAACGAAAGGAAAGAAGGGAAGAAAAAGGAAAGAAAGAAAGAAAGAAAGAAACGAAACGAAACGAAAAGGAAAAAGGAAGAAAAGAAAGAAAATGAAGGTAAGGAAAGAAAGAAAAGAAAAGAAAAGAAAGAGAGGAAGGAAAAGAAAGGAAAGAAGTGAAGGAAAGAAAAGAAAAGGAAGGAAAGAAAGGAAAAGAAAGGAAGGAAGAAAGTAAAGGAAAGAAAGAAAGAAAGAAAGAAAGAAAGAAAGAAAGAAAGAAAGAAAAGGAAAGATAGGAAAGAAAGAAAAGAAAAGAAAAGAAAAGAAAGGAAAGGAGGGAAGGGAAGGAAAGGAAAGGAAAGAAAAGAAAAGGAAGGAAAAGAAAGGAAGGAAGCGAAAGAAAAGAAGGGAAGAAAAAGGAAGGAAAGGAAAGGAAAGGAAAGGAAAGAAAGAAAGAAAGAAAGAAAACGAAACGAAAAGAAAAAACGGAAGAAAAGAAAGAAAATGAAGGAAAGGAAAGAAAGAAAAGAAAGGAAAGGGAGGAAGGAAAGGAAAGGAAAGGAAAGAAGGGAAGGAAAGGAAGAAAAGGAAGGAAAGGAAGGAAAGAAAATAAAATAAAGGAAAGGAAGAAAAGGAAAGGAAGGAAAGAAAGGATAGGAAAGGAAAGAAGGAAAGGGAAGAAAGGAACGGGAAGAAAGGAAAAAAAGAAAGTAAGAAAAGGAAGGATAGGAAGGAAAGAAAAAAAAAAGAAAGGAAAGGAAAGAAGGGAAGAGAAGGAAAGGAAAGAAAAGAAAATGAAGGAAAGGAAGCGAAAGGAAAGAAGGGAAGAAAAGAGAAGGAAAGGAAACGAAAGAAAGAAAGGAAAGGAAAGGGAGGAAGGAAACGAAAGGAAAGAAGGGAAGGAAAAAAGAAAAGGAAGGAAAGGAAGGAAAGAAAAGAAAAGAAAGGAAAGGAAGAAATGAAAGAAAGGAAGGAAAGGGAAGAAAAGAAAGAAAGAAAGAAAGAAAGAAAGAAAGAAAGAAAGAAAAGGAAGGATAGGAAGGAAAGAAAAGAAAAGAAAGGAAAGAAAAGAAAAGGAAGGAAAGGAAAGGAAAGGAAAGGAAAGGAAATGAAAGGAATGGAAGGAAAGATAATGATTGAATGTTTTCAGGAAAAAAATGAAAAAGGAAAGAAAGTAAAGTAGCTAAACAACGGAAGATATTAACTGACTGAAATCAGGAGACATTATACTGACTGAATGATGACAGAAAGAAATTAACAAAAGGAATTTAATAAAGAAAGAAAGAGAAAAGTAAATAAAGAAGAAAAAAATATGGTATTACCAAAAACAAATTTAAGAAAGAAAAGAACAAAAAAAGAAGTGGATCATGTCTTTAGAGGAAAGAAAAGATGGAAATGGATTCCCTTAAATTGAGAGATAAGAAGATGGAGCTTATTTTTAATTAATAGAACGAGAGGTGGATAGTAAAAGAGCGAATTAAAAAGCAGATCTGAAGGGAATTAAATGAAAGAAGAAAGAACGAAAAAGAAGAAATTAAGTAAAATCAGAAGCTAAAGAAATATGTGAAATAAAGAGGAAGACATAACGAAAATGGACAAAAAGGTGATAAAATAAAAATGAAAAATGAAGAAATCGAAGAAAAAAGGAAAGAAAATGGAGGAAATAAAAGAGGAAAGGAAAAGAATAAAAAAGTAAATGGAGAAAAAAAACGAAATAAAGAAAGAGAAAAAGCAAAGAAAAATAGATGAAAATAAGAAAATAACGGAAAAGGAGAAAGCAAAAAATTAAAAAAAGAAAAGAAAAAGAATGAAAGAGGAGAAATGAGGGAAAAGAAAGAAAGCTGAGAAATAAAAAAGAAAAAAGAAAGAAAAGAAAAAGAAAGAAAGAGGAGAAATAAGGAAAAATGAAAGAAAGAGTTAAAGAAAAAGTAAGAAAGCAAGTAATAAAAAAGAAAGAAAGTGTGAAGTAAAGAAAAGGAAAAGGAGAAATAAAAAAGAAAGAGAAATAAGGAAAAAGAAAAAAGAAATAAAGAACAAGAAAGAGAAAGTAAAAGGAAGGAAGTAAAGAAGAGGAGAGAAAAAGAAATAAAGAATAAAAGAAAGAAATCAAAAAATAAATTGGAAGAAATAAAATGAGAAGTAAAGAAAAAGAAAAGTAAAAGGAGAAATAACAAAGAAAAAGGAAAAGAAAAAGGAAAAGAAAAAAGAGAAATAAAGAAAAAGAAACAAAGAGAGAAAAAGAAAGCGTTGTATAAAGAAAAAGGAAAAATAAAAAGAAAGAAAGCGAGAAATAAAAAAGAAAAGAAAAATTAGAAAGAAAAAAAGAAAGAAAAAGTAGAAAGAAAAGAAGTAAGAAAGAAAAAGAAAGAAAGAGGAGGAATAAAGAAAAAGAAATTAAAAGGAGAAAGAAAAAGAAAGATAAAAAAAGAATGAAAAGAGTAAGAAAGAAAAAGAAAGAAAGAGGAGGAGTAAAGAAAAAGAAAGAAAAAGTAGAAAGAAAGAAAGAAAGAAAGAAAAAGAAAGAAAAGAAGTAAGAAAAAGAAAGAAAGAAAGAAAGAGGAGGAATAAAGAAAAGAAAGAAAAATTAGAAAGAAAAAAGAAAGAAGAAGAAAGAAAAGAAGTAAGAAAAAGAAAGAAAGAAAGAGGAAGAATAAAGAAAAAGAAAGAAAAAGTAGAAAGAAAAAAAGAAAGAAGAGAAGGAAAAGAAGTAAGAAAGAAAAATAAAGAAAGAGGAGGAATAAAGAAAAAGAAAGAAAAAGGGGAATAAAAAGAAAGAAAGGAAAAGGAGAAAGAAAAAAAGAAAGAAAAGAAGTAAGAAAGAAAAAGAAAGAAAGAGGAGGAATAAAGAAAAGAAAGAAAAAGGGGGAATAAAAAGAAAGAAAAGAAAAAGGAAAAAGAAAAAAGAAAGAAGAGAAGGAAAAAGAAGTAAGAAAGAAAAATAAAGAAAGAGGAGGAATAAAGAAAAAGAAAGAAAAAGGGGAATAAAAAGAAAGAAAGGAAAAGGAGAAAGAAAAAAAGAAAGAAAAGAAGTAAGAAAGAAAAAGAAAGAAAGAGGAGGAATAAAGAAAAAGAAAGAAAAAGGGGGAATAAAAAGAAAGAAAGGAAAAGGAGAAAGAAAAAAGAAAGAAAAGAAGTAAGAAAGAAAAAGAAAGAAAGAGGAGGAATAAAGGAAAAGAAAGAAAAAGTAGAAAGAAAAAAAAAAAAAACTCCTTTAAAAAGAAAATAGAAAAGAAAAGAAAGAAAGAGGAGGAATAAAAGAAAAGAAATTAAAAGGAGAAAGAAAAAGAAAGATAGAAAAAGAATGAAAAGAGTAAGAAAGAAAAAGAAAGAAAGAGGAGGAGTAAAGAAAAAGAAAGAAAAAGTAGAAAGAAAGAAAGAAAGAAAGAAAGAAAGAAAAAAAGAAAGAAAGAAAGAAAAAGAAAGAAAAAAAGAAAAGAAGTAAGAAAAAGAAAGAAAGATGGAGGAGGAATAAAGAAAAGGAAAGAAAAAGTAGAAAGAAAAAAAGAAAGAAGAAGAAGGAAAAGAAGTAAGAAAGAAAAATAAAGAAAGAGGAGGAATAAAGAAAAAGAAAGAAAAAGTAGAGAGAAAAAAGAAAGAAAAATAAAGAAAGAAGAGGAATAAAGAAAAAGAAAGTAAAAGGGGAAAGAAAAACAAAGAAAGAAAAAGGGGGAATAAAAAGAAAGAAAGGAAAAGGAGAAAGAAAAAAGAAAGAAAAGAAGTAAGAAAGAAAAAGAAAGAAAGAGGAGGAATAAAGGAAAAGAAAGAAAAAGTAGAAAGAAAAAAAGAAAGAAAACTAAAGAAAAGAAATAAGAAAGAAAAAGAAAGAAAGAGGAGGAATAAAGAAAAAGAAATTAAAAGGAGAAAGAAAAAGAAAGATAGAAAAAGAATGAAAAGAGTAAGAAAGAAAAAGAAAGAAAGAGGAGGAGTAAAGAAAAAGAAAGAAAAAGTAGAAAGAAAGAAAGTAAGAAAGAAAGAAAGAAAGAAAAAGAAAGAAAAAGAAAGAAAAGAAGTAAGAAAAAGAAAGAAAGAAAGAGGAGGAATAAAGAAAAGGAAAGAAAAAGTAGAAAGAAAAAAAAGAAAGAAGAAGAAGTAAAAGAAGTAAGAAAGAAAAATAAAGAAAGGGGAGGAATAAAGAAAAAGAAAGAAAAAGTAGAAAGAAAAAAGAAAGAAAAATAAAGAAAGAAGAGGAATAAAGAAAAAGAAAGTAAAAGGGGAAAGAAAAACAAAGAAAGAAAAAGGGGGAATAAAAAGAAAGAAAGGAAAAGCAGAAAGAAAAAAAGAAAGGAAAGAAGTAAGAAAGAAAAAGAAAGAAAGAGGAGGAATGAAGAAAAAGAAAGTAAAAGGAGAACTAAAAACAAAGAAAGAAAAAGGGGGAATAAAGAAAAGGAAAGAAGGATGAGGAATAGAGAAAAAGAAAGAAAATGAGAGATAAAAGAAAAGAAGAAAGAAAAAGAAAATAAAGATTAATGAAACTAAAAAAATGGCGAGACAACAAAAAGAAAAAGAAGAAAACTTATACAACGTTTTTTTTTTTTTCCAATGCTTCTGGTTTTACAAAAAGACTGACACGTGGCAACTGGGCAATTCGCCCAACCCCGACTCATTCTTTATAGGATCAACCATCACATGTGACTGGAAGGAGGCTCTCAAAATCCCACGCCACTCTCTCTAAAAAACAACAACAAATGCGCTCATCAAATAACAATGTCGGAAAGCGAAGAAATTTCTATTATTGCTGAGGCAAGTCTATTAAAATAAATAAATAAATAAACTCGCTTTTATATGTACAGTAATTGTTAATTTATTTCAACTGTTTTCCTCACCAGGTTTTTTTTTTATCATTGCGTTGGTGCCTGGGTGATCTATTATCGGCTGACTTTTGCACATTTTGGGACCGCAGTATAAGAGTATACACTTACTTACACACGCTTTTGTTCCATAATGCGCACAAATAAACACCTACAGGGTGATTGAAAAATGAAGTTTTATTTAAAAATCGATATGGCCAGCAGATTTCGCTACAATTTCCTCGAGACCAACCAGGAATCGCATCAATTGATTTCACCAGGAACTCTTGTAGTATGGAAGACATAACTTCCTGTATTTGCCTTTCAAGATATTTCAAAGTCTTCTTCTGCTCCTTTAATCAACGCCCAAAAGAAAAAAGTCACTGGGTATTTAAGTCAGGACTCCTGGTTGTCAATAGGGAACTACACCTTTCTGACCAGAGCTCGATTAGATCTCATTTAAATACTCATGGAGACCTACGGACCCTATACGTAACATACTTGTTGACAACACAAATATAATAGCATCATCTACATGGGAAAAAGGCTAAAAATAAAGGAAGCATTATTAATAAAAACAAAACCAAAAAACAACACAATAATATCAACTATGAACATGGACATAATACCTTGACCGTGTTTTGAAAATGAAAACATTATATAAATACATACAATTTATTTCTTGTTAACAGTTAATATATTTCAACCTTGAAAATGGCTAAATGTATAGCCGAAAGCGCTCGGATAAAAAATTGGACAGTTTTTATATAATTTATCATCCGAAAAACAAAAAAAATTATTATATCGCATGAGAAATTGCATAAAAAACTAAATCAAATCTTGTCTGTCGTATTGAATGAAATTTGCATGAAGGATTGCTGCCTAAATACACAAATATCTATCTATCTATCTATCTATCTATCTATCTATCTATCTATATATATATATATATATACTTCTGTATGGAGCACTGTTTTTTAAAAATAAAAACAAAAATACTAAAGAACTCCCGCATTATTTACGTAACGTGTTCTTTTCCTAATTTTCTACATATCTATATATATATATATATATATATATATATATATATATATATATATATATATATATAGGCCGGTTAATATAATTTGAAGAATAAAAACAAGAACAAAATGATAACAATATTGACAATAGGATTGATGATATTCATTATGCAGGGTGATTGAAAAGTAACTATCAATTTTAAAATACTTATAATTTATTTATTAACTATAATTTCTACAAGAAATGGATATGAGAGGAAAGCATCTCGTATGAGGTTTTATGTAAAATTCGATGTGGGCACCAGATTTCACTCCCAGTTTCTCGAGACGTCCAGGAATAGCCTCAACTGATTTCACCAGAAACTCCTTGTATTTTCCCTTCAAGTTATTTCAAAGTCTTGGTTCGGTATAGCAGACTTACTCCTTTAACCAACCCCAAAAGAAAATAGTTACAGAGTGTCAAGTCAGGACTTTCATACACAAAATTGGAAGTTACTTTTCAATCCACCCTGAATCTCACCACGAAAGGCTGTTTAGTTTCGCTGATACTTATAGAAAAA